GTCCGTCCACCAAGGGAGGCCAGGCGCGTGGAGAGGCCGCTCGACCGGCGAATTTGAAAGGCCGGGGCAGCTGGCGGCACGGACCACAGGGGGAGGGGCAAGGGCCGGGACCCGGCAAGGGAGAGAGAGGGTCAGTAGGGGACACAATGATGAGGCTCGGACCATCGCACGACCAAGGGCCCGCATCGGCGGCCACCAGGCAAGGCACGTACCGCGGTCCACATGTCGCTGGCACTGTGTGAGGAAAATGGCAAACAGCCGGAAGAGCCCGCGCTCGGGGGCACTCGGCCCGGTGCCGGTGACCGCGGATCGGACAACCTCGGCATCGACCGCCGCGGCCAGCTCATCGCCGCGCTGAATGCGCTGCAGGCAGGACAGGCTGGAGGCCGACATGGAGCCGATCATCAGGGGAGCCGGCCGGGCGGCCGGCATCGGGGCAGCATCCGAGGCCGGGGCATTCTGACTCGCCTCCGACAGGGAGGAGAGACTGGCCTCGGAGGTGACGCGCGAGATGCCCTTCACCGGGCCGGACATCGGCAGGGCCGAAGGCAGGGCCGAAGGCAGGGCCAGGCCGCCATCCGCATCCGGGCGCTGTGCACCGAGCAGCTCGGTCAGGCTGGCAGCCAGGGAGCTGCCGGCCGTCGGGCCAGTCAGCGCGCGGAACACCCGTCGCGAGTATCCCTGCAATTGGCCGCCCGTCGAGGAGCCGCCCGCCTGGCCAAGCATATCCGCCAGCATGGCGATCAGAGGCGGGGAAAGGGGCTGCCCGGTCAGGAAGCAGCCGGGAGCCACCAGGGCCAGGGCGTCCTCGCCCTCGGCGGGATTCAGCATTACCGACAGGTGCCGCAAGGGGATGAAGGCCTCCATTTGATGCAGGGCCCCGGGCCCGGACAGGGCACCGGCCGGGCGTTGAATGTCAGTGGCCGACCCCCCGGCAGCGAGGCCGCCACCGGCACCGGACACCGGGCTACTCAAGAGCAAGCCGTCATTGTAGAGGGTCAGTCGAACGGGCCGCGCGCGGCTGCTGGCCAGGTCGCCGGATCCCACGGCGAGAAGCGGCGGCGACAGGCCGCTGGCGCTGCCGCTGTGGCTGGAGTCGAGCGACCCATTCGAGGCGGCCGGGAAGGCGGAGAGAGACTGCGACGCGCTGCCCGGTCCCGAGGCAAGCGGGCTTGCGACCCCGAGATGCCCGGCCACCGGGAGGCTGGTCAACGAGGCCGACAGTGAGCCACCAAAGGAGGGCGGCGTGCCGACCGGCGAGGCGCCAGGCGAGGCACTCAGGCCGAAGCCGGTCGGCGACTCGACGAGGGACATGCGCCGAACGAAGGGCGACAATGAGCCAGCCGCCGGGCTGACCGCCACGGGGCGCGCCGCCATGGTGCCTGGGGTGTGCACCGGGCGCGGGGTGATGTCCTCCACCAGCAGGCTCGCCAAGACAATACGCCCGGCGTCCGAGCCATCGGCCACCACGCGTAGGGAGGCACGCGGGGGTGCCGGGCGGCCGGAGGGCCCGGCTCCGGCAGTTGGGCTGGGCGACCTGCCTGTCGGGGCCGGCGGGTTACACAGGTGCCGGATGAGCAGCGGATCGAAGGCCAACTCCGGGGTATACACCTGCAGGGCGGCCGGCCGGATGGATTGCATCGAGGCGGTCAACAGCTCGAGCTTCGACAAGACACTGCGCAGGGGCGAGTGGTCCGCGTGAGCCTTCGGCGTATGGTGGGCGATTTCTGGAGGCGGGGTGACGACATGTCAGGAAAGGAGGAGCGGCGATGGCAGTGGCGGTGGCAGTGGCGGTGGCGGTGTTAGGCAGCAAAGAAGATGGAGCCAACACCGCGCAAGGGAAGGGGCAAAAAGAACGGAGGAAAGGGATCCGGAGTGGACGTACCGCCCACCAGGACCACCAGGCGCGAGAGATACTGCAGTGGCAGCATCAGCACCTGGTCCAGGGTCTGGCACAGGAAGGGCAGGGTGTCTGCCACGGGGCTCGGATGCGCGGTCACGCCTGCCGGGGCCACGATCGGAGATCCGGGCGGCTGGAAGTCCCCAGGCGCCCGGGCCGAGGTCCCGGCCTCCGTCGGACACAGGTACCGTGTCAAGTTGGCGAGCGCCCGGTGGCATTCCTCCAGGCCGCTCTCCAGAGGAGCGACAAAGGCTCCGAGCGCGCGATACCGCCGCAGGAGGGCCTGGAGCTTCAGCAAGCGCTCACCCATGAGCTTGATGTGCGTGGCATAGGTTTGATGAATCGACCGGAGCTGGACACGTCGACGGGAGGAGGAGCATCAGAAACCGGGCGACCGATGAAGGGAGCCTTTGAGCAGGGGAAAGCCAATGTCTTGGGAAAGGGTCCCGCCCCCTGGCCCTCGCCCGATGCCAAGCTGGCGGATGTGCGTACATGGTCCACGAGCGCCGCGCCCACGAGAACGGTCGGATCGATGGTGGTAATGTGCGCCGGCGGCGGGAGCCCAGCGGCGGAGGCCGCCGTGACGGCCGCAATGGCCGAGGCCGAATCCAACCGACGCCCGGTCACCGCGCAGCACACGACCAAGTGGTCCCCGAGCAGGCGGAGCAGGGCCGCATGCCGCAAGGCCAGGGTCCGGTCCAGGAAGCCTGCCCGATCGAAGATGTCGCGCAAGCCATCCACCAGATCGGCCGACCCGGCCAGCGTCAAGCCCCGGCCACAGGGGCAATCATGGGCCCCGGGGCGCGATGGGCCAGCAGCATCGCCCACAGCCGAGGAGGAGGAGGAGGAGGAGGAGGAGGAATTCGAATGCACGGAGGCCACGCTCATGTCCGAGTCGGTGGTCGACAGCAGCCCCTGCGGAGGGTGATGGAAGGGAGACGGCTCATCGGACCGAGCATCGACCATGGCCAGGAAAGCCTGGAGCCCGGTCGGCGGGAGGGCCGGCGAATGGCCAAGGCTGGAGATCGGGCAGCCGGGATCCCGAGCCGCCGGACCGCCAGCCTCGAAGGCGGCAGCCAGCCGGCAAAGCAGGCATCGTGGCGGCCCGGCCGCGCTGGCCGCCGCCATGGCCGCCGTCGAATACTCGGCCCCAACCATCCCGAGCAGGGCGAAAAGCGGCCGGAGAAGCTGGCGCGGCACCTGCTCAGCCAGGCGAGCATACTCCAACTCCAGCAGGAAGAGGTCATGGATGGCTTGCGAGCGGCTACTTTGCGCGGCGAAGCTCAAGCTGATCGCACTCAGGCCGAGGGTGGCCGAAGTGGCGGTGGCTGAGAGGGGCCGGAGGCCGGGCCCGGCCGAGGGGCTCGCGGCACCGAGGCCGGCACCGGCCGGGGGCACACGCACGCGCGACCCGGGCGACGCGGACTTCGTGATCGGCACCGCGGCGCCCGGCGAGCCGCTCGAGCCGGCAATCGGCATGCTCGGGGTGACAGGCAGCCCGGGGGGCCGACTGGTCGGGGGCGATGTCCCCGTCAGCGAGCCCAGCTCGTGCGAGGACACCGACAGGGAAATGCGATGGCGCCGGCGGCCGGCGGCCAAAGCACCGGACGACGCCGCAGCCGAGTCCGCCTCGGCCGGCGAGGCAAAGCCCCCGGCACTCAGCAGATGCGCCGATGCCGGCCTATCGGCCGTCGAGGGGGTCGCGCGCGGCACCGCGCCCAAAGAGCCGGGAGACTCCTCCGCGGTCGAGGGCGACGTGCTCAAGGCCAATTGGCTGCTGCTTCGGCGCCGGAAGAAGGCCGCTGGACGGGTGCCAATCAACCGACTGAAGACGCCCCCGGAATGCCGGTCCCCATCATCCAGGAAGTCCTCCTCGGTGGGATGGAGGTCCCCCCCGGCGGGGTGCCGGAGCCCGCCCTGACCCGGGGCAAAGACCCCCACCTGGGCTGCCCGTTGGAAGTCCAAATCCACCGACGTCTGCCCGGAGGAGGAGGGCGAGGACAAGTGCGACGATGGGGGCTCGGCCCCGGGGAGCAGGGCATCGGCCGACAAAGTGTGAATGTCGGCCTCGAAGCTGTTGCTCAGCACGGCCGTCGATTTGGGCAGCAGCCCGGCATCCAGCACGCCAACTGGCAGCTGTCCCGGGGGGGCCGCCTCGCCGGCCGGGGCATCGCCCCCGGGAGGGGCGTCGGCCCCGCCGAGGAAGAGGATCTCGAAAGAGCGCGAGGCATTGCGCAGAGTGCGCATAAAGCCCGACTCGCGCGAATGGCCGGCACCCGGCCGCGAGGAAACACCAGGCGACGCCTCGGCCGCCAGAGTGCCGGCCCCAGGGGACAGGGTGCTGGAGGGCGAAGCCTCGGGGGCCACGCGGAGTAGGTCCTCCGGCGGGGTGGCCGGTGGCTGGGCAGTGGCGCCGGAGGCCGATGGGTTACCGGCCACCGGGACCCCGGCCGAGGGGGGGGGCTTCGACGTGCTGGTGGATGACACCCCGCGGCGCAGCGTCCACTTGGACATGCGCAAGGCCGCGGGACTGCCGGAAGGGGGAGCCGGCGAGGCACGAGACCCGGACGCATAGGCATCCAGGCCCACGGTCAGGTCCGTGGCCGGGGAGGCATGCTCATAGGTGCTGCTCGGGGTGCCGGCCGCGCTGGACCCCGACAGGAAGGAGCTCAAGGAGAAGGAGGAAGACCGCCGCCGTGGGGGCAGACTGCCGGAGCTGCTGGTACTGCCGGTGGTGCTGAGGGGCCCGCCCATGGGCCCGGTGCTGCCGGTGCTGGTGGCGCTGCTGCTGCGGCTCCGGCTGCGGCTGCGGCTGCGGCTGCCAGCACGGTACCGAGCAAAGGGCCGAGCAAAGAGGCTGCCGGTGGCACTGGCCGCGCTCGGGGGCTGCGGAGGGGTGGCCACCTGCATCATGCCACCCGGGTCGGGGACCGCGGCGGCCGCTTGATGGAGGAGGGCTTCCACCTGGCAGCAGCAGACCATGCGACATTTGGAGCGCGAACGCCAGCCAGACCCGGGAGGGCGGATGTGCGGGCAATTGAGCGCATGCGGGTGAGCGTGGGCCGCCGCGTGAGCCAGCATACAGGCTCCCGGCAGGGGGCCGGCCGGCTTGGCCGTCGGGCTGCCACCAGTGTTGGTGGTCATGACGATCAAGCCGCCGCCCTCGGTCGAGGAGGCTGACAGGGAACTCCGCTGGATGGGGGCCCCGTCGCGGAGGGCCGGCGGAGACCGCCGACCGAGGCTCAGCTGCTCGTCGCTGAGACTCCCATGGCTGAAGTCCGGCGAGTAGTCGTCGTCATCGTCCGAATCAAAGTCCGAGTCCAGGTAGAGGGCCACCGAAAGGTCCGTGTCGTCGGTGTCGGTGAGGAGCTCGCGCAGCTCGGTGTCGGTTCCGAACGAGTCAAACTCCAGGCCCATGGCCGCATCGATCGGGGTGGGGGAATGCCGACGCGAGCGGCTGGACCGGCTGCCACGAGGGTGCTTGTATCGGCCACTGCCCCCGAGTGAGGCTGACCCGCCGGAGGAGGAGGACCGCGACATCGCGGTCGAGGCGATTGGCGACCGACGGCCGGCCTCCTCGCCGGACAGCAGGTGCGACGAGGTCCGACGGAGCCCGGGCGGGGCGGAGGCCACGCCAAGCAGCTCACCGAGAGCCTCATCCGAATCCGACATCATCAGCAGCTCGTCGGCCTGCTCGGCGTCCAGGTCCGCCAGCTCCTGGCGCAGGGTGGCCGCGGAGACGCCCTCCTCAGCCGCGGCGGCGGCCAGCGAATCCGAAAATGTCAGCAGCATGGCCAGCGCCCGCAGGGGTCGGCCTTCGCTCTGGCAGGGCGGCCCGGAGAGGGGTCGAGGGAAGGGTGGAAGTGGGTGAGCTTCATGGGGGGGGGGGGGGGGGGGGAATGGTGGCAGGGCGAGGGAGCACCGCCGAGCGGCTCGGAGGCAGGTGGCGGCGCACCTGGTAGAGGGCATTTTGCAAGATGTCCGGGGTGATGAGCTGCAGGCAATTCCACACGAGGGTGGTCATTCGGTCGCAAGTTTGCCGCTGCGCGGCACTCAGGTGGATGGGCGCGTCGGAGAGGACGCTTCCAAAGGAGGACCCCATGCTAGCCTGGCTGCCACCCAGGGAGGAGAGCCCGTGGGAGGTGCCGGGCCCGGCCACCGGGACCGAGGGGGTCACGATGGAGGAGGACACCTCGCCAGGACCGGAGGCCCATGGATGCGCCCCGGCATTCGGCAGGGACTGAGAGAGCCGAGCGAAGGCCGATCCGGCGGTCGGCGTCCAGGGCCGGGCGGAGGGGCCTGGCAGGCCGACCGCCGCGACCGCCGCGTCCGGCTGGCGCTGCTGCGTCACGTCCACATGGCTATCGCTGCTGCGCAGGCGGTCGGACAGGAGGGACCGGCCGCCGGGGGCCGGGTCGGTGCCAGGAGAGTGCCGGCCCAATCCAGGCGAGGGGGTTCCATCGCCGGGCAGGACGAAACCGGTGGAGCGGATCGGCCCGGCCATGGCGACGGCGACAGGCGGGGAAAGAGGGAAGATGCGCGGAAGGGAGGAGGAGGAGGAGGAGGAGGAAGCCGAGGAAGGGGAACGAAACGGGAAGGGAGCAGGCAAACGGGAAGGCGGGGGGGGGGGGGGGGGGAAAAACAGGAAATGGGAGGAGGGAAGGGGAATCGAATGGTGCAGGCACTTGCAGCGACCACAGTGCGGGGGCCGAAATGAGGCGCGAAGTTCGGCCTTCCGACGGTTGGCGGGATGACTTGTGCGGCGGTCGTGAAAAGGCGCAGGCGAAAGGCCGAGCGAGAGGTCGGCCGCGGGGGTCAGGAGGGAGGGGGGCGGGCGGGACCCGGGAGGAAAGGAGGCCTGCAATGTTGGGTGCGGGTCATCTGTGACGAGAGAAGATCGTCCGAGAGCGGGTTCGGCGGGAGAGATGGGCTGGGGAATGTCGATCGCTCGGCCGGAGAAGATACCAGCCTGCGGCCGAGCATCGACACGCAGGCAGGGCAGAGCGGGAGGGGCCGGGAAACGGGTCTCGCCTGGGACCAGTGACCCCCTCCATGGAAGCCCCGTTCGGGGCTCGGGGGGGGGGGGGCACGGCACGGGGGAACACACAACAAACAAAAGCTGGGGGCCTGCCCGGCCCCCTTCCGCGGCAATGTCGGGACCCATACCACGGTAGGCGTCTCCCCCCCCCTCGCCCCGAGTATTTGAGAGTCGCGATGCCCGCCGAGTCCGCTCGTGCGCACGAGCGTGGAGTGCATGTGTGTGTGCGCGCGCGCGCGCGCGCGCGCCCCTCGCGCTGGAAGGCCCGCGCCCCGGGCGGAATGCGAATTCCCCATGCCCTCGGCAAATTGCACAGCACCCAGCGCCAATCGGCCCCATGGTCGCACGCAAGGGCCGGCGAGGGCGGGGACACCCGCATGCGCCCCCGCGTCTCGCCGGTCGACAGAGCGCGCGCGATGCCACGCTGGTCGTGCTGAAGCTGCCGATCGTCTCGCCGGAATCCCATGCACGATCGGCTGTTCCCGACCTCTCGCCCGGACACCCCCCGGGCGCCCGGGTGTGTCCATGCTTGCATGCGACCCGGTTGCACACGGCCAGTCTCTGGCGGGAGAATGTTGGAGCAGGCAGCTGCTGCTCAAGTCCCCAGCCGCCGGTTACTCCGGCGCCTGCTGCGCTCTGCCTCGCCCCCCCCCCCCCCCGGGGGGGGGCCGGAACAGGGACGGTTAGGCCACGAATGGCGTAGGGCGAATGCCCCCGGGCAGGGGCGACCGACCGCGGGACGAGGGGCATTCTTCCTCCACGGAGCGGAGTGCCCCCACCCCTGTGCGAGCCTCGGGCCTCGCACGGCACCACCGGCGTTCAGGCACAGCCCGACACACTGGCTCATTGAACCAGCACAAGTGCCGCCGGCCCCC